AATATATAAGGTCATTTTGTAGTGTAAGATTAATAAAAATCACTGACAGTAAAAAAAAAACTCTAAAAACACAATTACGGCTTATGAAGCTATTTTTTAAAAAGTGCTATATTATACAACCATTAAACATTCATTAAAAGCAATGAAAATATAAATTATTGTGCTTTTCTATAAATATACTTATAGAATATTTACAATGTGAGAGACAGTTATAAACATTTTATAAACATTACTCATTTAGTTACCATACTTGCTTTGTAAAGAACAGACACAGGATTGATTACCTTGCCCAATCAACAGTACACAGCTTGTAAGTGGCAGAGTCAAAATACACTTCAGGCATGCTGGCTCCAGAGTTCATACTTCTCTTTCCTTGTACTGGGATTGAACCCAGGGCCTTTACACTGAGCTACATCTCCAGCCCTTTTATCGTTTTTTATTTTGAACTAAGTTTTAAGTTGTCCAGGCTAGGCTTGAACTGACAATTCTGCCTCAGCCTGCCGAAGTGCTGGGATTATAGACATGTATGTGACTACATCTGACTCATTTTCATTTTTAATTCCCAATTATTTTTCTTCTAATATCATAACCAAATTGTATATAATAATGTATTCCCAATAAATTGTTTTAAATACCTTTAGACTTCAACAAACAAAAAACTATGAATTCTGCATTATTTTTTCCAATTCGGTCATTCAATAATCCTATCCACAGTGCCATAGGCGCTTGGGGAAAGAAAAAGAATAAAACAATGAGCCTGTCTTTAAAGAATTTATAGTAAGAAGGTACATATATTGACAACATATAATAATTATACTATGACAAAATAATGTGTTAATTCAAGGAAAAGTCTCTTATGACCGTACTATCAATGAGTTTGTTTTAGAAGTTATTGAAATAAACAAGTATATAGTAACTTAGATGCTACAGAACAGGTGCCAAAAGGTGTAGGGAAAGATACAATATTTGCTGGAACTGGCAATAGGGCACTAAATGGTTCATAGAAGGTAAGTGAAGTGGAGTTTTGTATTTTAAAAAGATTATTCCAGAAATCAGCCAAGAGAGTGAATCTGAAGGGCAGTGAAGCTGGTGGCCACCAACTTTCTAAAAGATGACTTAAAAGTACAGTTTAAATGAGTATTTGAGTTACGGCAATGATAGCAAAGATTAGAAGAGAGTTTAAGTTTTGGAACAGTATTAGAATTATTGCCAGAATATGCTATTACCCACATCCTCATAAAAACACAGTCTCCCTCAGGAGACAACAGAGATGATAGCAAGTAGTATTAATGACTATGATAAGAGAACAGAAAGGGATATGCCTCACTGATGTCACTGTAAAAACCAGGCACAGGAATGACAGGGGAGAATATCTGGAATGTATGAAAGGTCTTTCTTGGTGTCCTTCTAGGAAGTCTGCATATTGTCATAAGACAACTACATAGTATCCCAGTGCCTACAACCTGTGAATATGTTACCAGACTTTCATAAAAGGAACTCTGCAGATGGTCGTAAAGTTGTGGACCTTGACATGGGGAAATGCAGCCTAATCAAATGGATTTGTTTTTAATTTTCATTTTTATTAGTATCTGTTTGCAGTATACAATGATTATATCCTTCATAACGAGCTGGTACATGTACATAAAACATCTAAATTATTTTTTTCATCTCATTCCCCTCCCTCCAATTCTTAGACTCCTTATTTTTGCAAAATATGTATCTTCCTCCCTGTTTGCTATTGTCTTTTATTTTGTTCTTTATCTTATTTATGTTTTTGGTTTCTCCTGTGGGAGAAATCATGTGACGTTTAAGCTTCTGTGTTTGCTTTACTTCACTCGACATTATGGTCTCAAGGTATATCCATTTCCTATGAATGCCTCAAGTTTATCTTTCTACATGGCAAAGTAGTACTCCACTGTATATCGGTACCTCATTTTCGTTATCCATTCATCTGTTGATGGGCATATAGGCTGATTCTATCTGTTGATAAAATGTTTAAAGGCTAAATTGGATAGAAATAATAATGGATGAGGAGGGATTAGAAGGATGAAAGTGTCTCAATTAATCCTTGCTAACAAGGTGACAGATGACATTGGCCCCAAGCTGAGGCATGTTGGCCTCTGGAAGCTGGAAACAACCCTCAGCTGAGAACAAGGGGAAAAGGAAACTTCATCCCTACAACAGCGAGGGACTGAATTCAGCCAAAATCCTAAATGAGCAAGAAACCAAACTGTTCCCTTGATCATTCAAAAAGGAAAAGGAGATCTGTGGACAACTTTATTCTAGCCCACTGAGATCCATTGTCAACAATGGAGTTATAAGATAATAAACTGGTATTGTTTGGAGCTTCCTGGTGATTTGTTACAGCATAAAGAGTAAAATAACAGAGAATCTATGCTTCATTCTTTCCTAAAAGATTTAAATATATTGATTTAAGAACAAGGTAATAGGCTAATATAAATTTACTTGTTAAAGTCACCAATTTTGAACTGTTAGAGGCATAAACCAATGCCTTTATTATTATTCCTCAAAACATAAAACTCACTAAAAGACTAAAAGAGAATAAAGATTCTAAACTTTTTTGGCCAGGGGGGTTACCAAATATCACACTCAGGACCTTGTGCTTGCAAAGCAGTCACGGTGAGTCTGAGCCAATCCCTGGCCCAATAAATATTTTTCTTTATATTTAAATATAAAATAACATTTTGCCTTTTTTCTCATAGTTAATAAATGAATTATCTTGATTTTTTTTGCTAGTATTTCTTAAACTGAGTCAAGTCTTAATTAGACTCTCAGTACACCTGTAAGAATATATAAACCCTAGGTTTAAAACAGCTGTTTAAAACTAAATTTAGAGGCAAACCATTTACAACAAAACATTATGCTTTTGTCATTGTCTATGTATTTACTGTTTCTCATACTCATTAGCTCCTAGAGTCAAAGGCCATCTCTGCCTTCCCCTCATGGTTCATGTTATTATTCACACAATCTAGTAATACTCCTGACCCCAGAAGATTTTTGTTAAACTAATATAGAATATATTTTTAAAGCAAGTATACAAATACTGTATACAAAGCTTCCTTGAAACCTACGCTTACTAAACCTCAGGTTATAAAATTAAAAACATAAAATTACAGATGTAGTGTACTATATGTGGGTTAAATCCCAAACTTTAAACATTTAATACCAAAATCTTAAAAGTTATACATGTTTCCTACTTAATTTAAATTTATTGATAATTTGGTGTTTTTATTATCAATATTGTGATGTTCGGGTGACCCACATAAAATTCCATGAACTAAAACTGCTTTCTGAAAATGTCCTCTATGTTAGTCTTTTTTATGGGGAGGGGGTCTTTTCTCACCTCATAAAAATTAAGTGAAGCACAGTATACTTGTGAGCTACCCGAGAAGAGCAATATGGCTGCATTCTTCAAACTCTAAAAGCCCTGCTCATCAAAGAAAATTCCTTCCTCTCTAGAACGGTATCCGATATAAATATGTGAATCCCATATGTAATTTTAAACTTTCCAAAATATTTTCAACTAAAGTCAATATAAAAATAATAAATATCCCCCCCCCGCCTCCTTTATTCCATGTCCTAGAAACCCTGTACCTGTTTCATACTGTGAATACACCGCAATGCAGACTTGGCCAATGGCGAAACTGCAGCTTTAGAAAATCACTTCCTGCCCTAAATTACTACATACCCAATCATTTTGTAGTTTCTACTCCATATCTCATTTGTACTTCGGGTTCATTTGGTGGGAAGGACTTTCACCAATTTCAAGAAGTATGTATCATCTTCCTCCTCAGGCCATTTTTCCCAATTTTTCCAAGATCTCCCGAGTGTATAGAAAGCAGCATTCCAGGTATGTGATATCAAAGTGTATATCCTTAATGTAAAACGAATTCAGACAGTATTAGAGGTGATATAAATTTATCTTGCCCATAATACTTCCTATTTTGAGTAACAGCTGTTTCCCATAGGGTAATTCCTCAAATAAAATGTAAAATTTAAAAAGCGTTTCTGCAACACTACTTCTACAAGACAAGCTCTTAGTGTTTAACAGTTGTTCTACGACTGAATGGGGGGAGGGGGTGGCAAGAGCTAAAACAATAGCGCAGGAATCTTTCATCGTGATTTCACCCATATATGACCGACCAAACTCACACTGCCATCCGTATTACAGAGAGGGAAGACAGTGGCGGCTGCCATTGAGCGCGCTTCCCTCGGATCCCACTTCCAAATTCTGACTCGATTCTAGTTGTGCTACGAGGACCCTGCGCACCGCTCCGAATTTACAGGGTCTCTGAGGCGCAATTTTGCAGTGCAGACCCCATGGGCTACCAGGAGCAGGTCCGCGCGCCTCAGAGGGACCCGGCCGCGACCCAGCCGCCCGGCGCGCGGGACCTCTCCTCACAGGGTCATCCCACAAAACGGCTCGTCAGGGCGCAAGAGGTGACCCCGAAGTGCGGAGACGACCCGCAGCCATGTGGCGGCGCTTCTCCAAAGGCCAGCTGGGGTATCAGGAGGTTGAGAGCGCAGTGTACATAGGCCCAACCTTCCCGCGGTCTCCACACGCTATCGCCTCTGCCAGCAGGGCCCAGGGCGCGGGGTTGAAGAGTTCGCGACTTTTCGGCCAATCAGAAAGGGTTTTCCCGACCAATGACCGGGCGCGGGGTGCCCCCTTCGGCTCTTCGGCCCTTCGGCTTCTCGGCCCTTCGGCTTCTCGGCCCTTCGGCTTCTCGGCGCTTCGGTTCACCCGCTTCCTTTGCAGTATTTCAAGGCCCTCTCTAGCTGTACCTCGCGGTTCTCGCTTGGTAATTTCCCCCTTTCATTTTTTTCAACCACTTCCGGGCCCTGCGTCGCTCCGGAAGTCCGCAAGTTCCGGAAGCCTGTGTAACCCAAATTCAGCTAGGAAAAGGCAAGGTTTCCAGAGAATGTTTCTGAAAAATTTAACGCGGTACGTGGGCGTTTCGCAGGCTCCTAAGGTCAGTGTCTGCCCTAGAGAGCCGGAGTGCAAACCCGAGGTCTTGCTTGCAGCTGGGAGGTCCTGAAGCTTCACGACCTTGTAATTCGCGCCCTTTGCTTCCGTTGCCCTGTTTTTTGGCTTCCTAGAAGAAGCAAATCAAACTCTGCTTTCGGGAAAATCAGTAAAGCAAATCCAACTCCTAAAAAATTTCTTGAAATCGCGCCGTTAAAAGAATCAACGCACCGAGCTACAGTTGAACCCCTTTATATTCCAGGAAATGACATTTTAGAGACGAACTTGAAATTCCTTTCTTCACACTTGGTAGCGGGTCGTGAACAGATTTATTATGATCGGTTTTAAGAACCGCTCCGGATCCAAGCTATTCGTAAAATATGTGGATTCACTACAAAGAGTTATACTTATTACCAAAAAATGGGTATGACCAAAGTATTCTGCATTTTTGAGAGTCCACTGGTAAGAACACCGATTTTAGTTTTCTTGAGGAGGAGGTATTAAGGATTTCTTACGGAATTGCTTGTGAAGTTTGTTTTGCACTTACTTATGATAAGAAATGTGAGAATTACTAGCATTTTTCTGAGACCTTAAAATTATTGTTTATTTAGGTACCATTTTCCATACACCGAACATTTAGTTTAAGGGCTTTTTACAAAATGAGACCAAGTTGTTCAAGTCTGTGTTCTATGGTCTTACATGGTGCCCCTTGCTGATTTTTTATCTTGACAGTGTTAAGTAGTTACAGGAAGAGTGTGGCTAACCCCACCACGATTTTGTAAACACCTTCCAATAATGTTGTTACCTTTATTTAAATCTGAACCGAATGAACTTGGGATGCCTTTTTATCTTCTCTGATCTCACTCATACTATCAATTACTAAATTTGAGTTGAATTATCTTGAACTGGAAGATTGGAAAGGAGAAACAATTACGAAGTCTAAAAAAGAGCCTTTCATTTTTTCTTTTTTTTTCTTTAAAAAAAGAGGGAAAAAAGAACGGGACATAATTGAATACTGAACAAAATCAAGAGATTCAGGCTCTAGTCCTGATTCGGTCTTATCTTTGACCAACTTTACCTCTTGGCCTTATTCTTCTCATTCTTAGAAATTAAAGGTAACACTCAATCTGTGGTTTTAAATTTGTTCCATAAAAGAACTGTAGAAATTTCCTGGAACCATGCTGGGGAAAGACAAAGCAAGCAGACTGTCAGCTGTATTTTAACAAGGGCAGCTATTTATGTGTTCTGCTTTCATAACAGCGTTCCTTTGAAGATTGAATTTATATCTACGACTCATCTACTTTTCCTTCTAGCATTAAAATTCTATTTCTTAGGACAATTATTCATTTGTATTCAACATGTAATTTGATTGTCATAGTTTTCTAAAATTATGTCCATATTTAATTTCATTTGTAGATATGTTTCAGATCTTTTGTGATCAGAATCATAATTCCTTATTTTCCTCTGTTCCCCATATTCTTGTATTTTTGCTATAAAAATTGTGCCTAATTGATGCTTATCGGTAGGGCAGGTATTTTCCATTTTATATATTCAGTAGTTGAACCTTAAAAATGTTAGCAGGCTGGTCTGCCCATCATCACATCCTTGATAAGGTTCTGTGTGTCCCTCTTGTATACCAGTCTTACAGTCAGGCTCCTGTAGCCTATAAAAATGTGGGCTATGTGCACAATCTTTTATTTCTGGACAAAAGTTCTACTGTGAATTGTTCGTTGTTTCCCCCTTTTGATCTGGGTTGGACTCAAACAGGCTAATTGCATTTCCTTTATCTTTATTCTGTGAAGTGATAGTATGTCTAAACATTCTGTGCACCACTTCCATTCCTTTAGAGTGTACACAAAGCCTCAGGAGAAAAACCCTGATTTGCTCCATTTACCCCATCTCTGGGATCCTAGTATTTTTTAAGCCTAGCCCTGCGGTTTGCATACTTGAATACAGGCAGGGAGGATAATGTCTATTGATTTTTCTGATATATTCCCAACTATATAATCAAAATACCGCTTTCTATCGTGTATTCTTCATTTATGAACTCGGTCGTTTCTGCCGACTGTTTGTAACTCAAGTTGGTTGTAAATCAGTACAGTTGATCTGGATGTTTACCTGGGCACACGCTGTAGACAACAAGAGGCAAATGAATCTTCCATTAACCTAATTAATCCAAGTTGTTCATCTTCATACATCAGACCAGTTGTAACTTGAGAGTCCACTTGCCTTTTACTCTAATACATTTTTTAATCAGTTTTCCCTTCTTACCTTCCTGCCAATAAGGTGAGATAAAATTCCATTCAAGTTGTCCTTTCTTGTTTCTTACTATTAAAACACAAAAACTAATAGCTCTAGAGTAATTCTGTTTTGATCATGCCTTTCCAGTGTTCAGTGGATAAAATTGGCATTACTTTTACTTAGCATATAGTTTGTGTTCGTAATAGTTAAATCGGTGGTCACACCTCATTTTTTTACCTGCGTATTCCCTTTGATGAGATTTGACAGTCAGTCTTTTTGAGTACCTCTGACTACCTGTATAGAGAGAAAAATGGGAGGAATATAGATGCTGTGCATCCCAGTTAGTGTAGGCAACTTTACTACATTTCCACAGTTTTTGTTGCCATCTGTTGTGAGGATGGAAGTCAGTCTGGCCTTTTGAATAATTATAGGGATAAAAAATTTTGCTTTGCATTCTGTGATCTTAAATTTTATCAAAGCTTACTCAATATTCACTTTTCTAATGGTGTGTTCTACAATTTTTACCAAAATTTCACTCTTCTGCAGCTTGATCTTAGGTGGTTAATCTCTTTAAACTTCAGTTTTCATCTTTTTAAAATTAGAGATAATAATACTGTGTTATGAGGCTTATGTGAGATGATGTAAAGGAAATACATAGTTCCTCGCACATAATATGTGTCACATAATCATTTTTTCTGTTCCATTGCTGATTCTTCTTGTTTCATTGGGGGTATTTCCGCGTTATCTTGTGACATAAAAGGTGCAATTAAGTGTTTGTTCTACTAACTTTCAAGCCATTTGGAATTCTCTTCCTACGCAAGTAGATTCTAAGACCCTTCCTAATTTTATAGAATGTAGTATTTTTAAAGATGTAGTTGTTTCGTGTATTTTATATCCTTGAATAATTTGTTTGCTGATTCCTGAATTATTTTGCTGAAGATCATTCCTCTATTCTTAATATTTAGCCTCTTAAGATTACTCTATCTGTGGGTCCTGTGGTACCACCGTAAAGTGTTTATGTTTACCTAGTAGGCCCATCACCACTGTCAGTATAGCCCACTGATTCAGCGCACAGTTCTTCCACTTTTAGCAATATAATTTTATACATGTAGGATAATCTTTCTGTGTCCTAGGGTCCTTAGTGTAGAATAGAAATTTTAAAAAGAATATTTTTCTTAGTATTATAGGGATTAAATGATTTAATTTTGAGCAAGGCAATTAGCTATAGTAGTCAATTAGCACACATTGAGAGATTGCTATATGCTTACTACTATTGTAAGCTAACGTATTCCTTGCAATGATTATCTTAATGCCTTGCTCTTACTTACTATGAAGATTCCCACATGTCCTATTCTGATTTTTATACTTTACCCTTTCAAATTTAGTGCTCAGTATTATCATATTTGCAATTGAAAAATGGCTTTTTTTTTAAAGTTCCTTCCCCTTCCAAGGTTTCTTCAATTTCTATAAGGATTATTGGGTAGACTTTTTTTTTACAGTTGCTTTTTCCTTCCAGTGCACAAAAAGTATAGTATGATAAAATGAGTTGTCCAGAGTTTCACAACCTATGAACCTAGACTACAACACAGTACTAATCTGAGCCAGTTTAACACTTTTTCTCCCCGTATTCACTCATCATTTTGTTTTGCAATGTACTTTCTCTCCTATAGATTCAGAAATACTGACTTTATGAAATAAAGGAGTTTGAAATCCTTTCTGTTCTCTTAAAAATGGATTTATGAAGTTAAGCCAAAGTGTTGTAAATTCTACTTTAAGATTAAAAATGTTATTTTATTAGTTTTAGATGCTTGAACCAAGGTATTGTAGCTAAAATAAGTAAAGCACTCATTTATTGTATAAGACTAATTATAGTATTGGCATTTACATTTGTTTTGAGTTTCATCTCTCCAAATGAAAAAAAAAAAATTCTCCTCTGTGAGAATTTACTTATCACTCTTCCTCTTTTTGAAACATGTATAGTATTTGGAAATTTATTTTTCATACATTTTTTAGAAAATTTTGTCAAACCTACTACCACCCAAATTTCAACAAATTTTTTTGTTTTGTGTGTGTGTGTGCGTGCTCGCTGGCTGCAGATCTATCTCAGAACCTCACACTTGTCAGGCACTTTGGATTTTAATGAAGATTTCATTGGAGGAATTTAGCAAGCTAATGTCCTTAACACAATTTTAAAATTACACATGACTTAGTAATATCCAAATGAGCAGGATTGGGATTTAAAATATTGGCTATCAGCATCATCTATCTATCATTGAAGCTTAGTTTATGTGTGGTAGAAAGGGAGGAATAATAGAGTAGTGACAAATCACTTAACAAGTCTGTGGCAGAAGTGGGATTTGAACTTAAGAGTTGATTTCTGGGTCTATTCAGAGTAACAGAGGTCAGAGTGTCCTAATGGGTCTCAGCCATAGCTTTTCCTCTTTTCCCCGTGTTTGAAGTGTGTTCTGGGAATTGGTGTTCTGTTAAATCCCTCTTTGATGCATGTCCCATTTATTAGTATTGATTTCAATACAATGGACAGTAAATCTATTTGCACTAAGGAAATAAAATATAGAATGTAGATTGAAAACTTAAGATTTCTAGTCAAGGAATTTAATTCACATGACCTTATGCTATGAAATTTTAGTCTAAAACTTAAAAATCTAGAGAGAAATAAAATGAATATATGATCCCATCAACTTTGATTGCTAGAATGCTTAAGATAGTATGAAAATAACATTGCCATACTAAAAATCAGTTGTTTATTGTGGAGCTACAAAAGAACAGCCTGGCGGGTAGTCTGTTGGTAAATATGATAATTTAGAGATTAATTGGAAATTATGTTTCTGCTGACAAAGTTTACAAGTCTATAAATTTAGATATAGAATATTTGTAGGCAGTATGCATTGACAAATATGTTTAATGGTAATACATCTAGAACTGAGTCTTGGAACAGGTCAATAATAATATGTATATTGATAGCAGCAATGTAGGAGATGTTACTTGGTATTATAGCTAAAATCCATGTTATCCCCTTAATCATAATTACATTAATATTGACAGGCCCTTGACAATACCCACATTATTATTGACAGATTTCTGCCAATAGCATGTTTTTAAATAAAATATATTCATTTGTGATTTGAACTATACTCCATAGAAGCTCTAAAATACATCCTGAAAATTTCCTCCTTCCTCTGTGACAGAAAGTCAGTTTGTTT